ATTTTGATGATGGGGTAATATCAGTACTGTAGTGTTTTAAAAGATGAAAGTGCAAATTTCTAGATGCCATGTATTACCTGGGTTCATTTCAAAACCTCAACAGCAAAAAACAGCTGCACATATATATAAGTACTACAGCTCAGTGAAACCTACTGTACTTGCTTAAAATCTCCCATTTAGATTATATCACATTATATTACAGCAATTGTCAACAGACTTAAATAAACAAGACTGCCTAACATGTATTTAAAAGATCTGATGTTATCAAATTTATGGCACTGGATTGTTTGTCCTGTGTCAATAAGTATAAATATCAACTTAGGTGATTGATCTTAAGAGATTAAAAGTAATCCCTCACATTGATTGCTATCTATCTACAGATCTGTAAGTAACATAACGTGCTTCCAGGGACTTCAACAGGTAAAACTGACACCTGAAGATGCTGCCAGCGCTAAATGTTTACAATATTTTGATCAGCATAGTTGCTTAATATATGCCTGTAAAATAAAGAACCCCATAACATTCCTAAAAGAGGAAAAATCTTATATTTTGCATATATAACTCAATAATTCAAAGCAAACTAACCTATTGGTATATTTCAGGGTATATATGACCTCTAGCGTTAAGCTGAAATTCACCATGTCAATGCAAACCTCGACAACAATTAATTCAGAGTTTTCTCAGCGTACTCTACCATACTACTTACACCAGAAACAATTTAGGGGGAAGGCTCTATAACTAGCCATGCATATCTTTTCTGCATAACATAATCATTTTAATATTATAAAAAATCTTAAAATACATGACTGGGGTAGCGCTAACACTCCCCAATTTAGCCAAATGCTAAAACTGACNACCACAATCTAGTGAAATGCAGTGTCATCCACCCCCCCCCTCCCCTTCATCCCTCTCCCCCCTCCACTTCCTCGGTTGTAAGACATCCATAGTTATGTAAATTGCTGTGACAAAATATTGAGTCCATTAAATGTCAATACTATCATCATTATTGAGGAGCATCAGGGGAATCGTGAGAGAAACCATTATTCCAAGACTTCAGGTTTCTATTTCCTCCTTTTATCCTCAGTAAAAAAAACTTGGCTGTTAAACTGAAAACTGCAGACTAAACCTGGGGTTGAAGTGTTGGTAGGATAAACATATAATAAAGAACATCTACTGTCATGGCTGAATTACTGCTATTGTTCAGTAACTTCACTGTAAGACTGCATTCCCATAGATTCAGATCGATCCATTTAGATCGACCTAACTCCCTGGAGGTTCATGCTAGATTGCTGTCAGCCGAGCGCGCACGGTAGTTAATTAAACCCCTTACAGCTTAAGCCGGCTAAGCTGACAGTAATCTAGTGAGACTCCCCACAGGGATAGATCGATCTGAAATCTGTGGGAATGGGGTCTAAGATAACCAACTACATTTCTCCTAGGGTGGATAGTTGGATGACTTCAGAAATGATGCAATTCATGTCAAGTTAATCAAAACATAGGGCTTAGCTCACATGTTAAGGATAACAATTTTATGATGGTCTTTGACTTGTAAAATTATATTGCTTTATAGGTAAATAACACTGACTTATTGTGTTGATAAATAGTTGTGTTATCCTAAAGTAAACAACTCAGATACCAGCTTCAAAACAAAGATCCTTAACACACACACACACACATACATATACACACATATACATAAACACACACATACATACACATACACACTCTGTGCACATAAACACACACACAAATACACACACACTGTGCGCATAAACACACACACAAATACACACACACTGTGCGCATAAACACACACAAATACACACACACACTGTGCACATAAACACACACACACACACACATACTAGTACATAAACACACACACAGACACACACACACACACACACCAGTGACACAGTTTCAAGTAAGATGCCAATTGCAACTGATACAATCAGACATATAGGTATATAACATCCTACAGGGGAAAATGTCAATTCATTTATTATTGACCTAGAACAGAGCACAATGGCAGGTGTAATAAACACCTGAAGGTGACATCACCAAACTGCCTGCAGAATAGATCACCTGTTAATGTCCTAGCACTGGGCCACTACAGTGCTTAATCAAGGACGGGATTTCTAAATACTAGTAACATATTCTTATATTCAAATCTATACCTACACTTGCTGAACTGAGCAGTCTGAACTGAGACAAATGATTTTTTTATCAATCAGTCTTATTTTATTCATTTATTTTATTTTATTTTTTATTTTTATTTATTTATTTATTTATTTATTTATTTATTTATTTATTTATTTATTTTTGTAGTAGTAGTAGTAGAATATCTGTGCAGCCACATACAGCCTAAAGTTTTAAAATATTCACTGGTACAATTGTTCTTATAGAAAATGTCATTAACCCCCCCCCCCCCCCCCCCAACCCAGGCAGTTGCTGCAACTCTGAGCTAAAAATATCATGCTTGTAAACATCTTTGTATTCAAATGATGCAGTCAGACTACACAATGTAACAAGTGATCTCATGTTTGTCTGCTCAATACCATACACTGGATGCCTTCACATCCGTCTAGCTGACAGAATGTCGATCGGACTACCGATCTAACTGTATTATAACTGACTGACTGATGATCTGTTTTATAACTGACTGACTGATGATCTAACTCTATTATAACTGAGTGACTGATGATCTCACTGTATTATAAAAAACTGAATTCCTTCAGCATTTTTTCTATGCCATGACTAACAATCCTCAGGACCTCCATTATCACTCTCATAAATATTTATCTGACCACTTTAGTTTTCTAAGTACCATCTTCACCAGATGTTAAATGAATGGTGTCTGTTCACCAGCAGTCTACAGCTGTGTTGTATTTGTACATTAGTTCTCCTACAGTGAAGTCACAGCTCTTAAAGTATATAATTATACTAGTTGTTATATAACATCACATAATATTCAATGACTCTGTCTTGAGGTAACATATGGTCTTTATATAAAACTGGTTGTTATTATCATGTTATCAAATAGTATTTTTATACAGTAATGCCCATAGATGCTATTTGCCGCCAGGTAAAGTACTAGTATGGCCATTTTGATGATGGGGTAATATCAGTACTGTAGTGTTTTAAAAGATGAAAGTGCAAATTTCTAGATGCCATGTATTACCTGGGTTCATTTCAAAACCTCAACAGCAAAAAACAGCTGCACATATATATAAGTACTACAGCTCAGTGAAACCTACTGTACTTGCTTAAAATCTCCCATTTAGATTATATTACATTATATTACAGCAATTGTCAACAGACTTAAATAAACAAGACTGCCTAACATGTATTTAAAAGATCTGATGTTATCAAATTTATGGCACTGGATTGTTTGTCCTGTGTCAATAAGTATAAATATCAACTTAGGTGATTAATCTTAAGAGATTAAAAGTAATCCCTCACATTGATTGCTATCTAATACTATCTACAGATCTGTAAGTAACATAACGTGCTTCCAGGGACTTCAACAGGTAAAACTGACACCTGAAGATGCTGCCAGCGCTAAATGTTTACAATATTTTGATCAGCATAGTTGCTTAATATATGCCTGTAATATTATAAGTAAAGAACCCCATAACATTCCTAAATGAGGAGAAATCTTATATTTTGCATAGAACTCAATAATTCAAAGCAAAGTAACCTATTGGTATATTTCAGGGTATATATGACCTCTAGCATTAAGCTGAAATCCACAATGTCAATGCAAACCTCGACAACAATTAATTCAGAGTTTTCTCAGCGTACTCTACCATACTACTTACACTAGAAACAATTTAGGGGGAAGGCTCTATAACTAGCCATGTATATCTTTTCTGCAAAACATAATCATTTTAATATTATAAAAAATCTTAAATACATGACTGGGGTAGCGCTAACACTCCCCAATTTAGCCAAATGCTAAAACTGACTTAAATTGGCTAAAGAAAAAGGGCTTGATTTGACTTGTTTTAGCCAAATTATAACCATTTTCATAACAAATTGACAAAAACGTGTTGATGTGGCTAAGCAAAAAAATTGCTAGCACTACCCCAGCATGATTTCTGTTTTTAAGCCTTATTCTAAGCAAGAAAGGCTGTAAACTGCATGGTAATCAATTAAGATTTGTCTAAACAAAACGAAAAAAAAAAAAAAAAAAAAAACAGCCTGCTATACATCACATCCTAAAATGCCTGGAATTCATTGGTTTACCATGAGAGAAAGTATCAACACAATTTTGTGAAAATGAATGAATGAATAAAACAGATGAATGATTAAATGAATGAATGAATAACAAATGGATTAATGAATGAAATGATGAATGGATAAATCACTGCATAAATAAATGGGTGGATGAATAAATAAATGATTCAGCCATACTCTATATCAAAAAATAGAAAAATAAAATTAGAGGACAGGTGGTGTTATTGACATAAAAAACATTTTTCATTTTATTTTTTCAATATATCATTCATCAGCTACATACATTAATACTTTCCAAGCAGAAGAACTTAGCTGACACTGGATTATTACACTTCAACGTTGATATTATTATCAACCAATTCATTATCATCAGTAAAGCAAAATAAGCAATATGACAGGCTCAGCACAGGAACACGTAATTAATGACAATGTCTGAAATACAACGTCGTATAGGAACCAAAACATCAATGTTATTGTTTTCGTTGCTGGAATTCAATGTCTTATGATAAAACACGTGTAATGTTACCCTGTCTTGAATACAACGTCATATAATGACAAAGTAACGATGCTTTCGTTATCGTTGTTGGAATAAATCGTCAGAATCACATACTGTACACAGCGCAGTCGTATTTCGTGCGTGCAATATTCAGTCATACCGACGTAGATTGACAAGTGAACTACCGTTCGGATAGAATGAGCGTTTGGGCTAAATTCGAGGCGATTATTATTATAAACTAAACATTGAAAACATAATTACATACCAAAGTCTGCTCGTAGCCAAATTCCTGCTTCCGTTCCTCCGCCATCTTGAAAGGGTAATTACTATCCACCGCACCCGGGTTACAGCCAAGATGAAACCAACTCCATGTTGCTGCGGGGAATGAATAGCAATTACGCAATGTTAACACTGCATAAGTGATGCATAATAACATGGCAGGGCGCAGCTGGAACTCATCTATCACTTAGTCCCTGAAGTAACCCTCCGAGGTACCTCCCCCCCCAAAAAAAGGGAAAAGTATAGGCCTACGATCGAGCGAACACAACAGATCATAACCAGTTCAACATAATCAATTCCTGTGCCCTATTTTTTTAATTTAATTTTATTTATTTATTTATTTATTTATTTATTTATTTATTTTATTTATCTATTTTTTTGTGTGTGGTAACAAGACCTTTAATTTTTGTTGNAGTTTCGGGGGGGGGGGGTGCCTTATCAGGGATCATTTCCGCAAGCCCAATTCATTTTCACAGTCAATATACTAATTATACCCTGAGCGTCAGAGCAACGTAAAAGCTAGCTTGCTAAATATACCTTGTGGTGGAGTCGCTTTTTCTGGTATTGCTACTATGGGTTATATATGAAATCAAGATCGAGCTGGCAATACCGGAATCTAGAACCTAGGGTAACTAATTAGTTCCTATTCTTAAATTCCCCATTTGCCTTACAATTTAGGAATTAAATTTAAAATTAATTAGGATCTAAAAGTGACAAAAAAGTGCTTGAACGACATATTAAGAGTAAGTTATAAAAATTTACAATAAATTAGGATCTAAAATTGACAAAGTGCTTGAACGACAAATTAAGAGTGAATTATAAAAATCACAGAAGCAAAAAAATCAGTCTAAGAGATAATATTCAAAGGATGGAAGGTCTAAAATAAAACAAAACAAAAAAGGCGGTTTTCTTTATCAATCACTTGAAATTGCTTTAAAAATGTACATCTTTCATAGTTATTTGCATATCCATTTTTTGCTATTCCAAAATATTACTTATCTTATAGGGCCTATTTAGGTACATTACACCTTGTTTGGCCTAGTATCGATCCATCTTAATACGATGTTTTCGGATCCCTGGGCCCAGCTCCTCGCAAGTGACACACGCAGCTTTATGGGATGGCAAAACTGTGTTTCCACTGCATGATTATGTGGTGAGTCCTAACTAGGATTTAATTTTGTTTTCATACCAACTTCTCGAAAACTGATTCCATTTGAAGAAACCAATAGTTTATATTATTGGTGCTGTATGTTGTCAAAATTGTCAGAATGTACAAAAAGCACCAAACTTGGCACAAATGTTCTTTGAATCATGTTGATCATTTTCAGGGGAAGTGGCAATAATTCCAAAGTGTTGCTTAGAAACTGTTGCTAGGGAAGTGAATAACCTTAGTAGCATGCTAATATACCTTTCTTGTCCAGTTTAAATGATTTAGAAAGGATGGTAATAAGGTTTCAGGTCATCAGAACTATCAGTAGACTATTTTAAGCAATTAATAGTCGAAATAACAGTTTGCTGGGTAACGCATAACCCTAGCAGCAAGACTTTAAATTTGTGTTAATCTATTCATTTTTCCCATGTAGGTTGTTTAACGTAGATATCGTCCCCATTTGTCCTTACTGACAGGTGGACATTGGATCTACGGCAGACTTGTGTGATATCTACCTGTGTCAGCACGTTTACAGCTGTGAGGCATGGCCGACCATACACAGGACTCATCGGGTTTTTAACCTCACAGTAAATAAAAAGTACAGTAAGGATTGATCGGGCCAGTCCATGTCACAAATGAGTTAGTTTTTGTGGGAAAACTAAATGAGACCTCGTTATGGTTTGTCACACTTTGAGGTCACATGGGCACAAACAGACATGTTTACAGTTTTCACCTAATTTCACGGTGTTCTTTGCTAAGCGCGTTTCCATTTTGAAAAATATAGCGCTATCTGGGTCGTACAGAGGCCATTGCTACAGAAGAAGGCACAGCATTTGTACAACTAATTAATGAGGTCATTCAGAACATATGATCTGCGGACTAACTGATCTGCAGGCTAACTATGGCCGACCAAACTTGAAAGCAGCGCCGCTTAATTCTCTGATGGTCTCCCGCCTCCACACGCGCCATTTAATGGATTCCATCTCAGCTTCGCGGTTAAATTGCTAGGCCCCTGCAGCGACGGCGCGTGTGGAGGCGGGGAGACCATCAGAGAATTAGTCGGCGCTGCTTTTAATGGAGTCGGCCATATCTAGTCGGCGGATCAACCTGTGGACAAACAGTTCAGTCTAAAAGACTTGATTCACTTTCGATCCCAATTCATTTTGGTAAACTGGCACCTTGGTTGTAGTCTACAGAGCACCATTCTACAGTGGATGTAATATCATTATTGTATCCGTTTTTTTTTCTTTTGGCTAAACAAAGCCTGCTAAACTTGGCTATCCGACTACGTAAATTCGACATAACAATATTGAAATTAAGAGTGTCATTATATATGGAGGACTGGCCCGCAACGAACAGACATGCCTACAACAAATGGGCCATTCTCAACACTGGGAGTAAAATTCACTGTCAAGACAATCACATCATCACAAGCAAGAACACCGAAAAGGAGATCTTCCAGATCCTTTGTGGAGCGCATCATTGCCACCTGTGTTTGCTACGAGCGATCTTAGCGTGATGTTCGCCATGTCAACGTCTGTCCCCCTTGTGTAAACATCGTCTATTTACGGAAGATATGCGTCCCAAGGCATCGCAATCTGATAACGACCACCTGTTCCTCTACACCGTTCAAGTGACGGTGAGACTTTTCAGATTGGGGATTGATGTCATTATATCCAAAACCTTCCAAGATGACAAAGAGTAAAGACGACAAGGCAGGAGAAATTCGTTTAGATCATAAAGATGGTAAGTCCTCGCCTCAAACCCGTTCCACTCAGGTTACGGCGCACCAGAAAGGAAGATGGTGACAAGGTTTAATTTGCGGCCATGGGATAGATAGAAAGACCAACATCACAGCATTTATCAATTAATAAATCGTTGTGATTCTAGTTTAGGCCTACATGAGTAGATGCATGGTCATTATTAAAACTGATATCCGTAAAATTTCCCTAAGGCTTAACGTTGCCGAAACGCAAGCGAGTTTCTTGCGAGATTTTGTTTTATTTATAAAATCCCAACATGTAAAATTAATGAATACGTACACTTAGCAATGTGAAACTTTGCTGCAAATTTGTTGCAAACTATACAATGTGCGGCAAGTATCGAGTTTACAGGGTTTGCAAGAAAAATTGTTGTTGTAAATTTGCTGCAAATTTTCAACAGCATCTCCAGTTAGCGGCACGTTTACGATACATTTTTATATTCCCTTAAATTTTAAACATTAACTCATTTGCACAGTAAAATTCCTAAGCTTTTTGCAAACAGTAATTTTAAACTTGTGACAACAGTTTACAAGAAATCTAACATTTTGCTGAGGAATATTCAGTATATGTCCTAAAATTTAAAACCACAATCGAATGGTTTATTATTATTATTATTATTATTTTTTTATTATTATTATTTTTTTTTTTTTTGTCTAGTCTTGGCCACAATGCAAACACAGAAACACCCGATTTAAAACGTGAGACGCACTGTATTTAATCAACAATGGCGACTTAGTATCCCATTCCTTCCTCAGTTCCCTGCTGTATATATTTTCTCTTAAAGTTCCCTACTGGACGTCCTGCCGGGTGTGGCTGTCACTCATGGGTTTTATTGGCATGATCAATGTGTACGCATTGCGTACTAACATCAGCTTTGCCATGGTGTGTATGGTACGCCACGGATCTAATCTGAACGGAACCAACTCGACGATAGATGGAGCCAATGTTACCAATAACAGCGACTTCACTGTTACACCATGTGGCCAGCTGAGTGGTGGGTCATCAAGAGCGTTTGTAAGTATTTTATTACACATACACTCACTGAATTGTTACATGTATACAGGTGGATTTTGAGATTGAAGGCACTCTAGACCTATGTTTCCACATGTTTTTGTATTTGCCGCGTTTAATATGCCTAACAAAGGGATAGAAAACAATGTTAGCAACACTTTCTATTTATTTATTTATTTTGATTGGTCGATGTGGTTTAAGATGATTTGGTATATTTTTTTAATTACATGTTGGTCATTCCGCAGAATGTAAGAATTTGAGTTACGCAAGTGAGGCACACATATAATACTTGTTCATATTTTTGCATTTTCGTTAATCGTTTTTTAATTACCCTTATTGGTATTTTCCCAAATTGTATATAGTGTAAACAGCAGAAAAAATGCCAACATTACACGGAATATGTGCGTCAATAACACGACTCCAATGTTCAAGTTTTTGTGGCCCTAATGCTGCAACTATTTGGCAAATTGAAGGATTCGCTTCAGTATTAGTATAAATCAATAATGACAATGTTCCTGTATAAATCAATAATGACAAGAGACGTGACGAATAAAACTAGAATGCTATTAAACCCACACCTGGTTGCACTGTCAAATATCTAGTTATTTGGGCTATGATCGCTGACACACTTTAGAGTGGCTTAATACCGATAAATTTCGGATTAGTCCTGCGTCCCTGTAATATCTTACTAATGCAAATACAGATGAGGGACAACTACTGATATTATTCATCAATGAAGGCGAGTGGTGTACTATTACTCTGGTCTAGAGTAGCAGTATGACGTGCGGCTGTTATCTTAGCTACCACTGAGAGCAGAGGAACACAGCAGTGGCGGATTTAATTTAGACAGGTGCAGGGGGGTCTTGATCCCACCTTCGGTTTCTGAAGAATAACACTAATATTTCCCTCTTTAAATTAGAGTTTTAACCAGCTGATTTATAGTTCTTAACCGTTCCAAATGGCACGTTTGGCAGTTCTACACGAATTCTAATTACAAGATGTACAATGTGATTATTTTTGCTCGAAATGATTTTTAAAAATTGCGTTTGATTTCTATAAGAGGAAACTCTTAGGAATGGAGGCTGGGCGGCTCTTTCACGGTGCAGTCGGTAGCGCTTGTCAGCATACCACAACAACGAATGCATGCTCTCGTGAGTCCGAGCAAGTTACCTTTTGCATAAAAATCCGGTTTAGTTTATTGCTCGTCATTATCATTAAGTCTGCGTCGTCAATTATATATATATATAATTTTATTTTATTTTTTGAAGTCTTTAAAATGATACATGGGCGGGGATGGTCATTGATCTCTGTACTTCACCAACCACGCAACAGATCAAAATTGAACTGAGTCAAATCCTTACCCGGAATGGCTTCATGCATGGCATACAGCCCTTTCACGAAAAAAGCTTATGATTAATAGTTCTAAACCATACCAAAAAGGCGCCGTTCGCTCTCTAAAATACTCAAAGGGGGCAGAGGGTCAGTTTCTTATCCGAGGCCTGTCATTCCTACAAAAAAATCGAACCCCCATTCAAATAATCCTGGATCCGCTCCTGGAGAGACTGTCAATTTAATGTTTGACTATTACGTACGATTGTCACCTAAATGGCTGACTTTTGAGTGCCTTGGGACCTGTGAAAGGGAGTAGTCCCCCCCCCCCCCCGGACGAATTACCTGTAAGAACCCGGTAAAGTGGCACGGTAAACAGTGGTGGATTTAGGGGGTGTCAGGGGGGTCCAGACCCCCCTTCGATTTCTGAAAAAAATAATCGCAATAGTCCCCTATTAAAAGTTGAAATATTGACTAGCTGAATCATAGTTCTAAACCGTACCAAGTGTCACCGTTCGCCCTCTAAAATGCCATTCTCCGGTCCTTTCAGCGAGCCCCGGACCCCACGCCAAGGGGGTGTCGACATCGCATCTGCAGCCCCCTCCCCTTAAAAAATCCTGTATCCGCCCTTGCGCAGTAGACCTCATCTTTAATGTCGCTTCGAGGGTAAAAGCACATTTTAAGTTCGCGCATATCACCGTTGACAGCAGACCAAAATAACCGTCTATTTATCTAGAGACATATCTGTGAATATCTGTGGAAAATCAATCTGTCGCCCTGGTAGGGGGTAACCCTCAATATACTTCACCATATTGCAGGACGGTGAATTGGACTGGGATAAGAGCTTAAGAGGCAACATTTTAAGCTCGTTCTTCTATGGGTACATCTGCACTCAGATCCTCGGCGGCTGGTTGGCGGGGAGATATGGCGGGAAACACGTGCTGGGCACCGCCATGGTGATTGCGTTTGCGATGACGATGGTGACGCCGATTGCTTCCAGAACACACCCGTACCTTGTGATAGCGGCGCGGGTGCTGATGGGATTGGCGACTGTGAGTATGAATACATGACACGTGCAGATCGAGCTATTAACGTCACGTACAGATCTTAGTATGAATAACTTCACTGAAACACTGCATTGGCAAATTATCATAGCTATATCAATGGCTTTTCAAATAAAACTTTTTTCAATAAAAATATTTGCTCGATTTTCGTCTCGATTACCATTAGGTTGATTGACTGATAGTGATATTGATGTATTTTATTACTACAATTAATTAGTTCATTAATTTTTTTTTTTATTTATTTCTCTTGCTATCCTTTACTAACCTATACAACCAAGTAATACCTGTATGATGCAATGTACTGTGTACACTTCCAGGCAGGAGTCTGTCCGGAAATACCCGCTACATGTATATAGTTAGTCAATCCATTTATTTATTTATTTATTTATTTATTTATTTATTTATTTATTTGCGGTCCTTTGGCTCTATGCTACGCAGTACAATGATTTAATCGACCTTGTCAACTTCCAGGGAGTCGTCTTCCCAGCAATGCACGCTATATGGGGGAAATGGGCGCCGCCATTAGAGAGAAGTAAACTGATGTCGTTCTGTTACTCTGGGACCATTATTGGAAACATTGTGGCACTGTCCTTGTCCGGGTTCCTCTGCGAGATACAGCTAGACAATGGATGGCCCTTTATATTCTACGTTTATGGTCAGTGTTCATATAATAATAATAATAATAATTCAGTAATAACATTTAACAATGGGAGTGAAACTCCGTGGGGCGTAGATGTCAGTTTAAAAAAAAATACAAAAGTAGTATACAAAACATGAAGAATACGCACTATACTGCTTAGGACTGTAATAATATCCTAATAATAATATAATAATATAGTATCTATAAATATATTCTGCAGTAATATCCGCTGTCAGGTGTTCTTCGTCACCACAACCCTCTCGTTGGTATGTCAGCGTTGCATGGCTTCCGGTTGATTTCGCGAAAATTCGCTTACTTACGGAAATTACATGTTACTGTAGGATCCTACCCAGCAAACATGGAACTTTTTTTTTATTACGTTACCATAACTTTTTTTTGTTATCTAAACATTATGGTAACGCTATAATAACGTTCTATGTTAGCTGATTTTAGGAAGTCTTATTTGAACTTGGTCCAAAATATTATAGGGTCCTAAAGGTTATACAATGTATGTCCAAAATTAGAATCCTAAAGAGCGTCCGACAGAATTCACATACAATTCCAATTCGGTAGGATTGCTTTAGGGCATTTTCGTATGGGACCCATTTTTCTTGATATTAATTCCTAGTTGGTGCAAATCCTGTCAAGTAATGGGATATCAGGATGTTAAGCGTGGTGTGTTTTCTGTTCAAGGGGCGTTCTGTTTCCTGTGGTTGTGTGGTTGGTACCTGACGGTCTTTGACACCCCGGCGTCCCATCCAAGGATCGGTCAGCCAGAGAGAACGTACATACAGCAGTCTATAGGACATCATCCGGGACTGGAGGTAATCTGAACGAGACTGTGCGAGAATATTCGAGATAATGCATGAATGTTGGAGATTTCGTTCTCGTGGATCATCGTATTGTCTACGGTAATACTTGTTCATGAACATCTGCCCTGTTGGGTATGACCCAACCCTTTATGATGTTGAAGTAACTTTGCTATACCCTTGCTGAAACATCGGGCATTTTGTGTCTTTTGCAAAAGTAGAAATTTCAAAGAATTTGTAAAACAGTTGACACCTCCTCCCCAGAAATAAGAAAGGGACCTACGTGTATGTTGAGACTAATAAATATACATGGCGCGAGAAATAGATGAAAAAATTATTCTTTTTCTGCACCCGAATGTAACGAACTACATGTAGGCCTAGTAGTACAAATATACATATACATATACATGTAGGACAGTGAACCCATACTTCCATGTCAACAGTCTTTACACGCCACTAAAAACAACGCAATTTCTTTTCCATCCCAGAAAGTCTCGGTCCCGTGGCTGACGTTCGCCAAGTCGCCTGCTGTGTGGGCGATAATAGTCGCCCATACCTGCAATAACTGGGGCAACTACACCCTGATGACCAGTCTGCCGACATTTATGAAGGAAGTTCTAGCTTTTGACGTGAAGCAGGTGGGTGAGGTGGGATTGTGTTAGTTGAGAAATATTTGACAAGAAAGCATTTTCTTATCGGCTGGATAGAATGGAATTGTGTTAGTTGAGAAAGTTTTGATAAGAAGGTATTCTGAAAAACAGCCTGGGGAAGATTAAACGACAATTAGTGACACTTATTGAATAAAGAATGTTCATATATAGCTACTAGTTGTATTTTACAGACTGTTAGACTTTCACAACTTTTTTCTTTCAGAATGTGCTATTTTCAGCGTTGCCGTATTTAGCGATGTACGTGAGTACCATCTTGTTTGGTCAAATTGCTGATCGTCTGCGAGAGCGCCGTGTATTGAACACCACGTGGACCAGAAAACTGTTCCAATCTATCGGTCAGTGGCAGTCTGGTTCATTTGGATAATTTTGACACAAAACTGATGATTTACATAATTATGCTGTTTTTTTTTAAGAAAAATATAAATCTGTATTAAATCTTAATCCTCAGTATAAAAATTAATGCAGCCCACGTCAGAAACAGGTCTGCTGCAGTGTAACAAGTGTAAATTGCATCTCGGTAGTACCTTTTATATAGCGGAATCAAATGTATGCATGGTTTTATTGTTAGAAGCAAATGCATGCATAAAGATTTACGGTAAAAAACAAAAGGTACCCAATATTTTCAGGTGGTTTCCTGCCAGCAGCCTTCCTCATAGCAACGGGGTTTGTTGATTGTGAGACCCGGATGATAGGCGTGGCTTTCCTGACACTGGGTGTGGCGTTTACTGCAGGCGTGCGTGCAGGCTTCCAGATCAACCACGTGGACATTGCCCCCAGGTAAGAGCGGACACTCGCGTACTTGAAGTCCTTAATGCGTGGTGTGACGTAATATGGCTGTTAAAAATTAAAAAATTAAAAAATTAAAAATTAAAAATTTCAGCACTGTAGTTTCACCCCCTCATATGATGTTCTGTGTTGCCTGCCTTCAACATGGGGTATTGTTTAAAAGATTTCGCTCATGGATATAATCGACAGCTCGGTAGAAAATAAACGTTTTTTAAAATTTAATTTAATTTAATTTTTTTAGGTTTGCAGGTGAAATCTACGGCATAACAAACACGCTATCGACGATCCCAGGCATGGTTTCCCCTATTGCTGTGGGTGCTTTAACTCCAAACGTAAGCGGTCACTTGCAAAAATTCATGTTTATGCTCACTCCATGGCCATTGTTTTGCAGATTTAACAACTTTTCAAATTTTTTATTATCTTTATTTATTTATTTGTTTGTTTGTTTATTTTTGTGTAAAATTTCCAAGAATGTTTGTAATAACAGATGGTTTATAGCTCATGAGTACCTCGAATACTTTTTAAGAGGACATTTATGTGCACATGTACAGTAACCGTGCATATAATAGCATGAATGGAAAATAATGTAACATATTGTGATTTTGTTGATTAATGCAATATATTTGACTTCAGTTGTTATGAGTGCGTGTAACTCTTCTTTTTAAGGGTTCCAAGGAAGAGTGGCAACGGGTGCTCTTCATAAGTGGCGCCATCTATACGTTTGGCTCACTGTTTTTCTTGGTATTTGCAAGCGGCGAGGAGCAGACCTGGGACAAACCGGATCATCTTCACTACCAGGACGATCAGGAGCTCAAGGAAAAAGAGAAAAAGGATGACTTGGAAAATACGACATTGTAATTAATAAAGGTTCGGTTGAGACCTACATCGTGTAAATATGAAACTGAGTTCGCTGGAACAGTTTTAGAAGGATGATGTACTATAAGTAGGCCTATCCCATTTACTCTATTTTTTGTCTAGTTAGCGTAGAAAGTCACTGCATGCCGTTATTTGGTATTATAAGTAGAATCCACTGAGGGTGCTGTGCTGTCAAATTTTATAATGATTGTTATTACTAGTGTTAATTCTAAAAGAGCGAGTGTTGTGTTTTTTTTTTTTTGCATAAATACCAAATTCATATCGTGGATTTTTGGAAGCGATCTGTATTTAAAGGCCTTAAAAAGGAACTGAAATTGAAGGATATAAGGTATAGCGACTTAATTAACTATTCAAGAGCACTCCATGTAAGAACAGAGCCAGACTTAAAGTGTGTGCACTGTACCAGAGACTGTCACTCTCGTATTGGACTTTATGTAAGAACAGAGCCAGATAAGACTAACAGTGCGCGTCAGAAACTCGCTGGCACTTCCGTATAGGATTTTTCATGCAGTTATACTAGTATATACTCAGCGCTGCAATGTCAGAACAGATGATCCACTTCAAAGCGCAAATCCATTTTCTTTTTTGTAGTTGACGGTGCTAATAAAGAGTAGATTTTATTAAAAAACTTGATATTGTTCTGCACTAGCCAATGGAGAATGTAATATGGTGCACGACTGTGACACGCGAATATGAAACTCAAAGAACGAGCCTCTCTCAGTGTCTTCTTATCTCATTACGTCATCGGACAGTTGTCTCCCCTCTCTTATGTTTTGTACACACGAAGTCACATCAATGGACTAGTTATTTAACTTACCCATTAATGCGCGGAAGCATTTATATGAATCCGTAATAATTACAAAGCCATACGTTTCTACAGGCGTGACTGGTGACATGCAACTTTCTGTATTCCCTGTTCTTTTTTCATATGGGCGTTATCCGAGATAGTCCAATTTCCTTACCAAGGGAGATTTGGAGAGGATTAGAATCATAAATAGTTACAGCGTCACTCATTTATTATTATTATTTTTTTATTTTTCAGACAAAATTCCCAGCTCATAATTTCCTACTTATTGCCAAAATGGAAAACCCGTACGTGTAACACGTGGATTCTCGAACGTTTTCTGGTCTTGTATGACGTCAGATCAGTGCCAAAGGCCACGTTTTAGGCTACCTCGAATGATTTCCAATACCAACCATAGTTCAGGTGATAGACACACCTGTCTCATGTACGCATTGACTGTGTTCTTTACACTGGGCACACCATATCCAAAACAGTTCACTGAAATACAAAACATCAATCTTGATTGACTTTAACCTTTTGTGTGTGTGTGTCTTTTCATAATATATAGAGCAGCGAATTTCACTTGTTTCGCATGCGAAATGTTGACGCAGAGAAACTGTGTTTAAAATTTTATTTAGTTCTTTTTTCATGTTGGATATAACTACGGGTCACGCATAATAATAATACAACCAATTTATTCTCATTGGTGAGGTGTGCATGGATGTATAGTTTGATATCTTTTAAAAATGCATCCTTTACCAAAAAGCAATGTACTTAATTGTCCTATATTTCGGTGTATTTACAAAGTTATGTTTCACCGGAGGCGGGTGCGTTATTGTAATTTTAGTTGAAACGTACCTTGTAGTTCGCTGCTATATCGCTTCACGTGCTTGTTTATTAAAACAACAAGTGCGAGCAAAGCTAGTGACTCCAACTATAAATCAAAACAAAGCACGATGTCAAACAGAAATATAAATCAAGACTCGTGCTTTTATCCGACAGTCACAGCTACGTAGCGGACCTCGTTCATTTAAATGTTAATTCCCATTTAAGTGACATAATCAGTACTTTGTCAAAGTCTTGTGGAACTCTACCTAGCTTCATTGCCCTGCCCTCTATATCGTGACCGCAGATTAATTACAGTGTATGTTGCACTTTTCACTAGCAGCCGAGAATCCGGAGAATTGAGTTATAACTTAGCCAGAGACATATATCTGTTAAAGGGTACGGCGCGATCTGTATATCAGGATCCTCACTGAAAGGTTCTGACAATGTGAACGGGTTTAGATCAAACATGAATCCAGTGTCAAGGTCACTCTAACAACCACGCACGGGATAAACCACATGAACCACGCAGCGTGAAAGATGCTGGTGTCTTACAATATTAATTAGTGAAAGAATCAGCTAGTGCACTGCTTGATTTATTCTGACTGGTGCAGTACGCGTTCGTTATCATGTGAAAGGGACCCAAGTCAGCTGCTGACCGCTGTAGACAGCTGAAGTTATGAATGGATGGAAATAACACGACCCAAGTTGTCGATATGCGGTTCAGAGAAAGCTGAAAAACTACACGTTTATTATCTGCAGAGACTGATCAAAAACTGCCCACTCAATGAGCCAGGGCGTGAATATATACAAAGTAGGCAACAGGAGGCGGAGCTAAAACTAAATCCATGTCCACTACAGACATTGACATATGAACTTTAAAATACGTTACTACAACTGATAGTAGGGTTCGTTTGCATGGACGTGATTTTTCTATAGGTTCCAACGCAAGTGCAAGCGGTGCTGTTTACATCCTACAGCCGTATCATTAATTTGAAAATACACACACGCACTCCGGGTTGTTTTGTATATGCAGTTTAATGATTGGTATATAAACAGTTCCATATCGTAAGTCATGGCAGTAGGAAGAGAAGCCGAGACTGTTCCTATGTCACCAGACTCTCGGACTACAGGCGACATGGAAGACGCAGAGGATAACGTGCCGCTTAAGGAAAATGGTAAGTATTGCCGTGGTATTGTTAGTACATGTGCGGCTGAACAGCACACAAGGCCTGTTTACAGTAGAAATGGGTCGACCCAACCTGGAAACATGCACCTCAGCAGGCTGTGTGAATATGACGCTGATATTATGTACACGGTATAGCCACCGAAGACTACGGCACCCACTGACACGTGGCCAACATCAACGACAGTGGGGCTATATCAACGACAGTGGAGCTATATCAACGACAGTGGGGCTATATCAACGACAGTGGAGCTATATCAACGACAGTGGGGCTATATCAACGACAGTGGGGCTATATCAACGACACTGGGCTAGGCCGGTGACTGAGAAAAATAGTCCGCGGGCAGTAGGAGCTGAACCGGACGACACTGTAGGTTATTGTGCAGAAAGAATCACAAGGCAAAACCTGCAGATCATACATGAGAGAAGCTGTAAATTAACAGCTACAGTACAGGTATATGTAGGAGTGAGAGAGATGCCAAGCAAAGCACCTGTATGCATAGTTGCTTGCCTTGAAATTCTTGCAGAGGCATGTTGGTCCATTTTGTAGAGACTGCATGGCTCCATCCTGCCGTGTAACACTGCATGCAGAAAACATGGGGAGAAATGAATGTATTACTTAATGATGTTATTTATAGGAGTCTGCCGGGGAAACAGGTGGCGTGTATATATCATTACTTTGTTCATGCATAATTGATTGTTTACATGGAGAAAATATTAAAGGGATAACAACTCCTCTTGTGAGATGTTTTTCGCAATAAATACATTGTATTCAACTCATAGAAATATAATATATTCTATTTTACCACAAAAACGGCAGTTATAGCAAATAAGCTGGGATTTGTGCTTGTGATCAGACCACATGACCTCTATAAATAGCTATACTCTATAATAATCTCTTAAGAAATCTCTTAAAATCTTAAGAGATTATTACAAAAAAAAAAACAAAAAAAAAAAAACGGGGACTAGCTTTAAATGAAGAAATGGATAAATTAAACACTGGTAATTATGGGGAAATTGCCGTTAGATTGCCGTTTGGTCGCCATTGAATTTTTTTTTTATTATTTTTTTTTTTTTG